TTTTGGTCTTATATAAATTTTTGTTTCATAATTGTTAGCTAGTTTTTTTGGTGGTTACCTGAAAATCGATTTCATGTAACGCTCGAGAAATCTAATTTTGGTTGCAGATCATACATGCATAGACTGTGACACATGCCGTTGGATGGCTCCGGTGATAATTTTCGAGACATATCTCTGGCTTTGTGCTTTGTGTTTGTTAACTTGATAATACGTGCAATTTTGATTTGCCAAAATTATAAACGTAATTGCAAAATCGTGCTGTTTTGCTAATGCTTCCAGTTGTGAGAATGGGTACATACATGGCTCGCCATGGGCTACTAAACGAAGGAGTAATTATGTGAACGTTCAATTTGGCAGGATAAATGTTGAGTTTGCCACTTAACAATCCATTTTTTAAACAAACAAACTGGTTCAACGGAACATGGAATATCATATTTGGCTAATGAGATAGTTCTCTTTGAGTCTTTGACTGTTATTGTGATGCACATGGTTTTGATTTTTTTTTTTCCTCTATCAATTTTTCCTTCAGGAGATATTCAATCGACGGGATGGTATGTCCGCTGTATTTAAACAGCCTACATCTGATAAAGAGCAAACTCAAGCTCTTCAGGTAATTTCCTCTCTGCCAAGGAATTTTGACTTATTATATACAGACTTTATTTGATCTATTCTACTATCAAATGATGTCAATCACCAACAAAAACAATATGGACAAGCCAGCTTTGGTCTAAAATACTCGTGGAAACAAAGCTATGGGTGGTCACGTCTTACACAAGGAACTTTGATTTCGTCGGTTTATTATACCAAGTGATAAATCCATGGATGACTAATTCTCAGCAGCAGTTATCTAGTTGCTCCCTTCAATAGGAATCTAATAATAAAAATGAAAAATCAAGTTCTCCTAGAAATATAGAAAGCAGTAAACCAAGCCTTTCAAAAGGAAGCGTGACTATGTATAATATTGGACCACTAGAGATTGTCATGGGATGTGGACTTATGGTGAAGCTACTAAGTTTTTCAATCTAGCCTCAATATAAGTACTAGTCTAAGAGGGCCAAAATTGCTAGTCCAGTGGTAATTATTTGAGAATAAAAAATGGAAATGGATGTCTGATATTGTTGATCTACATACAGTTGAATGTTCATTGTATCGCATTTTAATCAGCAACAGTATCGAAAGTTATCATTCAATTGAAGAAGTTATTATTAATCATCGATATAGGTAGTTGAATGTGAAATTCTTAAGTTAATCTCAAATGTAAAAGTTTTTCCCATCGATATAGGTAGTTGAATGTGAAATTCTGAAGTTAATCTCAAATGTAACAAGTTTTTCCCATCTTCCGAACGTTGGCTCTTTGAATTGCTAAAGTAAAGAGAAAACTTGAGAAAGAGCTTTTGGGATGTTTAGAAGCAGATTAAATGCTGTCTAGATGAATACTTGAAATATGATTCAGTTCTATAACTTCTATTTTATCTCAGCATAAATTGTGACTCGGGCCTAGGTGTTTAATTAGTTGAGAATTATGTAAATAAAAAAAAAAAAATTGTAACATTGAAGTGTATTGAGCCTAAGTTCAAGTGTTTTTGGATGTTCACGAGGCAAATTATATCTTAGGCTCTAACTTAATTCTAGAAGTGTCATACTGGAACTCCCAGGAGACAGAAAGATTGATAGGATGTCCAAGTCATATGGTGGTACTCAAAGTGAGACTTATTATATGGAAGTCTCATTTTGTGCAGATAACTTGAATATTGATGGATCATTGAACTATATGGAATCGACTTATTCAGCCCAGATCAATTTGTTTCATATGTAGCTGTCATTATTGGAAAATTTTTATCATGCTGAAAATTCTTGTTAATAAGAGTTATGTGGATTGTTTCAAGGCACTTCTTTCATGTCCAACCAACTCAATTCATACAGAACGTCCCCCTCGTGATATATCAGAAGTTCACAACACGTTTCCAATTGCAATTGATGAGCAGAAAGTTCAGGTACATTCATCTACGTTACAATAATAGTTCTATGATTTTCTCGTAAGTTTTATATGCAGAGAATTTTTAGTTTTAAGCCTGTGAGTTGGCAGAGCGTCACCGGAGTGAAAAACTTTTTGGCTACAACATTATCATAGTTGAAAAGCTAAATCTCCATTTTTTATTCTTCTCTTTAGTTGTGCAATTGTGTATCTTTCTGAAGTGTGCAAGTGAAAGATTCTTGTGAGCCACATTATTGTTAACATCTTTTTGGGCTTTCTACTCACAAATTACTAACTTGATTTTCAGGGAGTGTACCACTGTGGTTACCATTCTGAAAAATCATATGGAGCAACATCTTATTTTATTACACGACCTCAAGGGAATGTACTAATAGACAGGTGTTTGTAATTACTTTAGTTGTGGTATCACTAGTTACTTCAAAAGTAATCTATCTATATCTATATCTATAACTATATCTATCTATATCTATCTATCTATACTATTATAAAAGGACGAGTGGTTTTGTAAAAATATGAACTGTCTAAAAAATTCTTACTTTGACATATATTTAATGGCAAATTAGTAATACAGTAATATTCATCTTATATTATATTTTTAATTAAAAAATAATCAATAGTAATAACAAAAAAAAACTTAATTATATAGGATTAAAAACAATTAAAGACATACGTGATCTACTATACTAACCTTTGTAAAGAATTCTAATAGTTTCAAACTCTAATTATTTTAGTTTAAATGTTTTTGAGTGAATTAAATCCATATCATGGAGTCATAGGACAACAAAATATGAACTGTCTAAAAAATCATTACTTTGACATATATTTAATGGCCAATTAGTAATACAATTTTATTCATCTTATATTATATTTTTAATTAAAAAATGATTTATAGTAATAACAAAAAAAACTTAATTATATAAGGATTAAAAAAAATTAAAGCATACGTTATCTACTATACTAACCTTTGTAAAGAATTCTAATTGTTTCAAACTCTAATTATTTTAGTATAAATGTGTATTAGTGAATGGAGTCATAGGACAACTTAGCATTGTGTCTAATGACAATATTATTCAACTTATGCTAACATGAAACTCTTAAAAAAAAAGACATCTGATTTTTCTTATATATATTAATCCATTTTATTCATCTATATACTGGACTCTAATCATATATTAATATATGATTAAAGAAAAAATAATTTCTATACACTCGCGTAAACATATTTCAAAAGATATAATTCAAACTAAACTATTATTATTTTAGTTATTATTCATTTTGGTTGTTAACATCTAAAATATTTACCTAAAATAAGTGACAATAAATTCGTGATTTTGAAAATAATGACAAATAATGGAATATTGTATGAGAATTGGATAAGAAAAAACTAAAATAATAAATAAAAAATAAAATTGTTAACTATCATTATTTTGATTAGTATTTTAAATATCATTCATTTTATTTATTAACATAAAATATTTCCTACAATAATTAATCATAAATTCATCATTTTAATGGTAAAATTGTAACAACAATTAAAGAACTTATATAAATTAAAAAAATAAAGGCAAACGTGATCTACTATAACATAACCTTTATAAAAAATTCTAATATCTTTGAACCTTAATTATTTTAATTAAATGTGTTTTATTTGAGTGAAACAAATCAATATCATGGAGTCTTAAGACAACTTAGCATTGTTTTCTAATGACGAGATTTTTCAATTTATGTTAACATGCAACTCTTAAAAAATAGACACCAGATTTTTCTTATATATATTAATCCATTTTATTCATCTATGGTGGACTCTAATCATATATTAGTATATAATTAAAAAAAAAATTTCTATACACTCACATAAAACATATATCAAATAATATATATTCATAATAAACTATTATTATTTATTTTGGTTTTTAACATCTAAAATGTTTACCTAAAATAATTGACAATAAATTTGTTTTTTTGAAATTATGATAAATGATGAAATATTGTATGACAATTGGATAAGAAAAAACTAAAATATTAAATAAAAGTAAAAATAATTGTTAACTGTAATAATTTAATTAGTATTTTAAATATTATTTCTTTTATTTATAAACATATAAAATATTTCCTACAATAATTAATCATAAATTCATCTTTTTGCAAAATTCGAAATCTGATAAGAAAAAAATAAAATAATATAATACTTATGAATAAACATATAATATCACACCAAAAGTTCAAAAAAAAAGTTCAAAAAAATATCATTATAAATTATTACAATGTATAAAGAATGCAGTATAATGAAATTAGTATTTAATTATGAATATTTTATTTATTTAAATTTAAAATATATTTAATTAACGCATATATAAAGAACAATTGTTTTTGAATTACAAAATTTTATGAGCAGCAGTATAGTATATCTGGATATTTCATTTACATATTTGTCTGGGCATTGATATTAAAGATGTTCTAGATAAGTTGATGTTAGCTTAAGTGTCTTATTAAGTAAGACAATTATTTCATGAATATTTATGATTGTGCATATAAACATTTGAGAATATTTTTGTGACTTGATAAATAGAGAATAAGATAAAGAATATTATTAATATGATATGAGAATTCATATTGAAGAGAGAGAGAGAGAGAGAGAGAGAGAGAGAGAGAGAGAGAGAGAGAGAGAGAGAGAGACAACAGAATATGAAAAGAGAAAAATGAATATTGTATTGAACTAGGGTTTCAGAATGTGGCTTATATAGTACAAGGATATAACTAAAGATGCTAAATATGAAATAACACCTTTTAACTACAAAAGGTGCAAATGACAACTTCTACTACAAATGACTATTTTGACCCTATATCTTGTTACCCACCGCAAGAGGAGCATGGATGTTGGGCATGCTAATCTTGGAGATGAGATTCTGAAACATAGGGCCTGGAAGAGGCTTTGTGAGAAAGTCTGCCAGCTGCTCTTTTCTGGAGATGTGATGGAGTTGAATGAGGCCTTTTACTATCTTTTCCCTTATTAGGTGACAATCTAGCTCAATGTGTTTGGTCCTCTCATGGAAGACTGGGTTTGATGCCATGGCTAATGCACTTTTGCTATCTGTAAATAGAGAAACAAGAGAAGGTAAGCGTATTCCCAATTCTTCACATAAAGAAGCTAACCATTGAATCTCACAACTAGTGAAAACAAGGCAGAGCTTTTGCTCACTGTTGGTTGCTTTTTGGATTTCCAAGAAATCAGGGATTTTCCAAGAAAAATAAGGTAGCCAATTACACTTTTTCTTGTATCAATACGAGATGCCCAATCACTGTCAGA